GCTCTTCCAGTCCGGGTGAGGAATTAATGCTTGGCTTTAGTTTGTTTGCTGATATAGATGGGTGTACCTGGAAACGTAGGTTCCTAGCAAGTGTTTTCTGGGAGACAGCTTAGAGGGAAAGGAGCTTGTCTGCAAGACTGCTTGTCTCAGTTCCCAACAACTGAGCACCACTCCCCAGCCATCCTTTTCGTGGGCAGTGTGACTTTTTTCCCCCTTCTCTTCTTGATTCATATGCCTCCTCAGATAAAGCACTACCAAAACCTGTTCCCTCCATCCCCCTGAAACCCCAAACAGAACTCACAAACTAGAGTAAAACTTCCCTAGCAAAGCAAGACACTGAATGATGCAGATTTTTCTCCTTTGAGGGAACCGAAAAGAAGAAACAATGCATGATAACTTTTAGTTGCGTTGCTGTAGACACTGCTGGGAGTGTTCTTGGACACCACAGAGATGAGTCCACTCTAGAACTAGAATATGGTATTTCACCTCCTGGATACTCTGCAGGGACAGGTCTGGGGCTGCTTTGTTTCTTGGCTGCTGAGAAACAATTTGGGGCGCAATGCATGTCGCATCTGCTCAGTGATAATGACTGGATTACCCAAAATAAGGCTGTTGGTTTTTGTTCTAGCTGATGTGGATTTGTTCTGTGACCTAATGTTGCTGATGTAAACAATTTAGTCACTACATTAGTATTACATTAATCAGTACAAATATATAGCCAGGCAGGAAGGAATGCATCCTTACCAGCAAGGTGCAAGTGATGAGAGGATGAAGACTGGATAGGTTCTTGCATCATGCTATTGACAGGCAGGTGGGGATGTATACAGTTGCTTATCTGCAAGTGCTTCCTGAATATCCCCATTACTTCACTAAAATGAGCATTACAGTGTTTTAATTTACAATCTGTCTTTCCACACAGCGTTTTAACACCACAGTTATTCTGTTTATCCAGACATCAATCATCCTTTTTGTTGGCCTGCGTATCTGACAATAATTAAGGAAAGCTATGTCTCGAAAATCCCTTGAGCAAGTCATTGATTTTATTCAACTGCTTGTTCAGCGATATTGTTCAGAATAACATGCTGTCTTCTACGGTTAGTTATGTGAGTTTTAGTGCTGTTAGCCAATAACCCTAGTCTCGAGTTCTCAGCTTCACGAAGGATTCGTATAGTCTTAAGCGAAATAACCTTGCAGGTTTTCTGCTGAGCTGGCTCTTCTCCAGATTTCATGGCCCACTTTATGTGGAAATGCATCAGGGCTGGCTGGATCACAGAGTGATACCTGATTATGGTGTCAGTCACCTAGTTGTCCTGCATAAACTGTGGCTTTTAGAGGTTTTTGGTAGGTTTTTTGTTTGTTTTTTATATTTTGGGGCCTTGGTTTTAGGTATAGGATTTGCCCTCTTCATAGTCTCAAACGTGCCAAATGGAAAAGTGATGGGAAAGAGTGGTCTGGAAGATTTGGGATGGCATGTAGCTGTGCATTTGAGGCATCACCTGGACACTTTGGAATGACAAGCAACATGATGGGTGAGAGTAAGAGCCAACTGGGAACACCTTCAGCTGTTGCGATTACTTCTGAAGTCAGCTGTATAGTGAAACTGGTTTTCTATACAGTACAGCAAGGTATTGCAGATGGTCAGAGATAGTCCATGACCTGAACGTTTTGCATTACCCTGAGTGCCTAGTAAATGGCATAACTCATAAAGGAAACTGTGATTCCAGGTGTTTTTTTTTTTTTTTGAATGATGCTCTTCACCATAAGTAAAGAGGAAATTCTTCTTGTAGAATCCATATAAATGGCACACTCTAGTTAAAGTGGGGAGTGACTATAACATTCATCTAGAAATATTTGTCAGTGCTGTTGTTATGTCATTGCAAAATAGGGACAGTTGCTTCTAACCTCGAATTGATGTAATTCATAGGCTGAAGGAACAAGCCTTGGGATTGCTTTGCTAGTACTGTATATGCCCTCTAGTGGCATCTTTGCTTCTCTTTCTTTTATGAAATGCTGTAAAACTTACGATGTATTTGCTTTGTTTACTGCTGAGGATAATCAATGTGTCATGGAGGTGCAGTGAGGAAAGTATAACTGGAAATTGTAAGCCAGATATGAAGGTGTGTTTGAAGGAATAGACATTTTAAGCACCGCCCATTCCAATTTTCACATTTTATCAGTAACAACAAATATCCATGCATATTCTGAAGAGAAGATTGTTTTGAATAAGAAATTCGGAGGTGGAGGCTGGCTTTCTCAGGTTGTGCTGGCGTGTTACCTGCTGATGCAGAACTAGCTAATTAGTAATAATTTTATCTCTGAAAAGCCTCCTGAAAGCACAGGATACAGTAACTAGCAAGGAAGAGTTTGGAGGGATAAATCTGGAACTACTGGCATCCTGTTGTTAGCCTGCCCATCCATCCAGCCATGCCTTTATGTTCTGGATCAGCTTGTAGTCTGCTCAAACTCATTGTGATCTAGAGGACTAAGAAGCCAATGCAAAAGTGATGATCTCTAACAGCCCTCTTCTGCTGAGCATAACAGAGCCTGGATTTGGCAAAGGATCTGGAGCATAACTTTAGACTTGCATATTGAATGTTCACTCAGCAGAGAAGACTAGTGGTATGTTGCTAAGTACCAATATACTCCTCAAAAGGGAGTGTTAAATGATTTCAGTAAAGCGTAAAAGACCTAACTTACTAAACTTTGCTTGTTCTGTAGTTCTAAACAGCAAATGCTGGTGTATGAATTTCCAGTGTTTCAGAAAAGCTTTTACACACAGCACTTAGTCATAATTCTAGCATATCGGTGTTAGATTGCTTGGGTTTTTTATGTTTGCTTTCTGACCTTTTGTGGATTTTTGGCCAAATGATGCAAAATGTTTTGTTTATATTAGAAGGCTCAGGAGACAGAGCGTTTCACAGGTGTAAGGTGGTTATTGTCCACTGGTAAGTAACTTCATAACAAAGCCTACGTGGCTTGGAATGTTCTCACTTCCCCGCTACGCCCCTTAATAAAAGGTAACCTTATTCCTACCTTTCCCCCCAACTTAAGAGAAGAATATAGCTGTCTGCTAACAGAAGGCGTATTTGTAAAATAGCCTGTCATGCTGACTAGTGTTATGATGCATTTATATAATGAGAGGCTCCATATCCAAGCAGAAATGTAAGGAGGTTGAAGTGGTGTTGCCTTGGCAACCTTTGATTCTTGTGGTCTTTGTGGTATAAATCAAGCCCTAATCAAGGACCCAATTCAGTATTCTGCCTGAATCCAAAATACCTACAGTGACAGGTTTGAATGGGAAAGGAGAACAAGACCTGCAATAGAGTGTATTTTTAGTGTTTGTCCTCTGTCTTTTATTTTGGAGCAGCTAGAGAAGAGTGGCATAGATTACAATCACAGCATTAAATGCAGAGGGCCCAGGTCTTTGCACAGGAACGGTCCCCAGAATGTCACTGCAAGTGTATTTCCACTTGGCATTTGTGTGTAAAATGTTGTTAGTTGAGTGCCTGACCACCTTCTGCTCTATACTTCATATTTTTCTTACACATTAAGAAATTATTTCATTTTTTCTTGTCTATTTAAAGAGTAATATTAGAGACTTGATTCTGTGACCTTTGAATTCTTCTTACAACAAATTAAACAATATTTTAATG